CACTGGCCCTGGGCTAACATCCGTGCCCATCTTCCTCCACTTTACATGGGACGCCGCCACAGCATGGCTTGCCAAGTGGTGCATCGGTGTGTGCCGGGGATCCGAACCAGAGAACCCTGGGCCGCCACAGCAGAGCGCGCGCACTTAACTGCTTGTGCCACCGGGCCGGCCCCTGTAAAAATTTCTTATAATTGCTTTTTCTGTTTTTCTACATTGAAATGTAGCAGTTTACTTTGTACCCAGCAACCTTGTTAAACTCGCTGATTAATGATAAAACTGGATAAGTTATTTCTTGATTCTCTAGAAATGATGGCAGTTTTATTTCTTCTTTTCCAGTCCTTACACTTCCTGTTTAACTTTTTCATTGGCTATGATTTCTAACACATGGTTAAACTGAAATAGTATTGGTGTACATCTTTGTCTTTTTCTAATCTCAAAGAGAGGTTTTTTTTTTTATTTTTATTTTGGTGAGGAAGATCAGCCCTGAGCTAACATCTATGCCAATCCTCCTCCTTTTGCTGAGGAAGACCGGCCCTAGGCTAACATCCATGCCTATCTTCCTCCACTTTATATGGGACACCGCCACAACATGGCTTGACAAGCGGTGCATCGGTGCACGCCCGGGATCCGAACCCGGGCCGCCAGCAGCGGAGCGCGCGCACTTAACCACTACGCCATGGGGCTGGCCACTCAAAGAGAGTGCTTTTATGTTTCACCCTCAAATAAGATCTTTGTTGTAGATTTTTGGTTTTGACATCTCGTTTCCTCCACCCTCCCACTTGTGAATCTCACATTCTGTTCTGAAGAAAATAAATGAACAAGAAAAGAAACATTTTTATTTCCAGAGCCTATCACTGTGCTCGGTACATTACAGCTGTCAATTTGTTGCATAAATGAATGAATATAGTAGGACTACTTGAGCCGTATGGTTTTCACTGGCTGTGGTACAGCAGTTCGGAAATACTTGTTAAATGTTTATCTTAGAGAAAGAGTCAAAGTCATTAATGTTTGTGTTACATTTCTGACGTTTCATTTCTGACATTTCAGGGGAGGAAATTAGTACATTGAATTTCAGGATTTGAATACAAATATTTTGGAGACAGACCATATTTTCTCTCTTTCTCATGGCAGTAATGCTTGCAATATTGTAGTTAAGGATCCATTTAAACTATATGTAGGTGAATTTTAGGCTAAATTTTCTGAAGAAGATTTATTCTGTTTAGGGACTTTGTTTTTATCTATTCATACTTGTATGAATATCATTGTAATCTCGATTAGATTTGTAAATTTAGTACTGTAATGGTGCTGTGAAGTTTCTGATTAAAGCCTGAGCAGTTAATACTACTAATAATCAACATTAGTTTGTGAAGTCTCCTTTATAATTCAGATTAGACTCCTTCTGCTTCTCAGCCTTTCCCTGTACCTGGTATTTTTTTTAACAGATGGGGAAATTAAGGCATAAGGGTAGAGATTCCCTGAATTTGGTGTATTGCTTACTGCAGTAGACCACTTTGCTTCTCTGAGAATTGTAAACTGCTATACTTTCCAGGTATGTGCTGAAATCTCCATTGCAGAAAACCTGCAAGTCTTGCTAATAAAATTTTTAGTCATAGCCATTTTATGTTTAGCTATATTTAGGACACCTACAGCTGGCTAAACGTTCTACTTCTGAATTTGTAGAGAAGATAGAGGTACATTAATTTTGCTAGAGGATTTTTTTTTTAAATAAAACGAGCTGTCCAATTTTTCCTTCATCTTTTTTTTTCCCTTAATACCTCCTTTTCACTCAATGTTGGCCATTGATCATTAGTTCTAGATCATTGTTTCTCAACTGGGGGTGATTTTTACCCCCCCCCCGGAGACATTTGGCAGTATTTGGGGACATTTTTGCTTATCGCAACTAGGGGGAGTGCTACTGGCATCTAGTGGGTAGAGGTCAGGGATGCTGCTGACCATCTTACCATGCATAGAATGGCTCCCCTCAATCAAGAATTACCTGGCCCAAAATGTCAGTAGTGCTGAGGTTAAGATACCCTGCTCTAGATAATGGTGTTTACTTTTGGTTTTGAACTGGGAAGAGAACCTCAGTTCCTATTTATTGAAAGGTAGTAATGGTGTCTTAGACTGTGGGCTTTAGAGTTGTACAGACCTGGTGTTCAGATCTTGTCTCAGTCCTTACTGGTTATGAGTACGTACATTCAGGAGTGTGGGGGAAAAAGAATAGATATGCTAATACATTGTAGAGTGCTGAGTAAGCATTATTTATATCCTCCCTCCCCCGCCCTGAACTCTTATGCCAGTGACTCAGTTTATCTTGCTCACTCAGAGGCCTTAGGCAAGTTTTTATACCTTTTGGTTTTCAGTTTTTTCATCTGTAAAGTGAGGATAGTAGTATTTATATCATAGATTTTAGGGGAATATTTCACGAGAAAATGCAAATAAAGCACGTGCTCCTGTGACTGGAATATAGTAACTACTTAGTAAATATTTGCTTTTATTTGTTGTTAATAGTAGCTTTACATTCAGATTGCAATCATTTACACTTGTTATCAGAATTGATGTATAAAACTAGGCAAGATTGTCCATCAACTGATGAATGGATAAACAAAGTGTGTTCTATCCATGCAGTGGAATATTATTTGGCCATAAAAAGCTATGAAGTACTGGTACTTGCTACAACATGGATGAATCTTGAAAACAGTATGCTAAGTGAAAGAAGCCAGTCACAAAAGACCACATATTATATGATTCCATTTATATGAAATCCAGAATAGGCAAATCTATAGAGACAGAAAGTAGATTAGTGGCCACTTAGGGCGGGGGTGGGGGAGATGGGAAGGATAGGGGAGTAATGGCTAAAGGGATTTGTTTTTGAGGTGATAAAAATGTTCTGAAATTGACTGTGGCGATGGCTGCGTAACTATGATTATACTAAAAACCATTGAATTGCACAGTTTAAATGGATTAATTGGATGGTATGTGAATTATATATCAGTAAAGATGATGTATATAAACTAGGCAAGATGAGGGCTCTCTATCCTTTCTCTGGTGTTGAATATTTTACTCCTTAGTCTCCACCTTGCTCTCCATCTTCTGATTTCCATGGAATCTTACTTGGAGAATGCCTTCCAGTGGAGATAACAGTAATGTTGCTGGTTATTACTCATCACTGATTGAGTGTGGTGATAGCTGTCTCTATATCCACTTAAGATTTTGCCAAATTAGAAAAACATTTCTCATTCTGGCCTGTATATCCTGTATAAGACCAAACAGCTGTGACAAACTTGAGCATGTTCCACTTTTCTCACACATGGACATTTGTATGCTAAATTGGCCATCAAATTTGTAACTGAGTTCCAGTATGTTTTATTTTTATAAATGGATAGCAAATTAGAAAACTATTTTTCCTGATTGAACATGAGTTAGCTAACTGTAGTCACTGGCCTAGAGTTAGGAACCCATTAAGCAAACAGGGACATGATAGTTATGAGACCATTAATAATAAAAACACAGTAGAATTCAAGCAGCCATAGTGATAAATACTTAAATAGAAGGTATACTTCAAGCAAATTCTACTTTGCCTATATCTCTTGATTGCAGCTATCAGAATACCCCACCCAAACAGGCTTAAGGGAATTTTTGGCTCACATTACTGAAAAGTCTATGTGTAAGGGATGTCTTCATGTGGCAAGGTGCGGTTTCAAACAGTCGCTTCACAATCCTGCTTCCCCTCACAGGCTGTGTGCTTTTCTGTCAGCTGGCTTCTTAGACAGACAGGCTTAGACACTCCTGGCCTGACTCATGCTAGCCTGTGTTGCGTCATGTCCTTATTCTAGAACCTAGGCTCTATGACCAGGAGAATAGGATGTGCTGGTTGGCTTTGGCTAGTAGAGCTCAAACCCTAAACCTGAGCGTGGGATCAACATTACCCAAAACCATATGAGAGTTTGGGATGAGGTGGTTCACCAGAAGAATTTGGGGTTGGTTTTTTTTGATGTTGTTAACTAGGAGGTTGCATCAGATGGTAGATGATAAGATAGTTTATTTCCACTGTAATGTCTAGCATATATACTAGAGCTTTTATCCATGATAATAATAGCTAAAAAATTTATTGAGTACTTACTCTGTATATACCAGGTAGATGAGTAAAAAACTTTGGGCAAAAAATAGGATTATGACAACTTTTGGGCCTGAGTCCTTCTAAAAGTTGTGTTTCTAAGGAACCTTATTATAAAACTTTCTAAGTTTTTTGAAATTTGGTGTGATCATTTTTTCTAATTTTGGGACCCCATTATCTTTAAGTACTGTATGTGGACTTTCTCAGTTCTTTAAACTTAGTACTTTTCTCTCTTTTGTCTTTCTAATACCTCTTGTTACTATATAGCATCATTTTACTTTTTTAACTTAAGCCTTATAAATCAATACACACAAATCTAAAATCTTAGGTTTCCAGTTCTGTAAAACAAGTTAGTATCCGAGGTAAATGCTGTTAACTTAGAAAATAGAGATAGAAATAGCTTGAGCAGGACAACTGTTCTCTGGCACGTTCGTCGTTGTGTCCTGCAGCTCCGTCAGAGTGTGCTCTTGGAGAGGGGTAGTGTAAGATCGGATTACTTTTTGTGTTTACAGTCACCAGTTTCTCTTTGCTCTTGGGAAACAAAAGGTAAATCATTTCTTTGCTAGAGTGGTTTTATGACACATATCATAAAGTTTGTGCTGTTTAGTATGCTATAACTGAATTAAGGTCAGTTTCCAATGTTGGATTGGGTTCAGACAGTTTGGGAGAGAGTTTTAAATATTTTCAGCTAGCGATGTGTTTACAAAATAGTTCAAATTATGAGACTTATAAATGAAGAATGATGATTTTTTTTTACTGTTTGCTCTATTAAAAATGAGAACGTCTTTATTTTTTTAAAAAAGTATAATTTAAAAAAATGAAAAGAAAACCATTGGTTTCAGAATAATGACAGTTGCTCTCTTTTCTCATTTTTTTCCCACAGTGATCCTGGTGGAGGGATTGAAATGTCTGAGTTCATTCGAGAGGCCACACCCCCAGTTGGTTGCAGTTCAAGAAATTCTTATGCTGGCCTGGATCCAAGCAACCAGGTAGGAACCTGTGCAATTTTATTTTACTTTTTCCCTTCTTCCTTATGGTGGTCTCCAGTATTCTTCTGTCTGTATTAGTTGGTGTTTGGGTTTATCTTGCTGATTAATAATTTTTTGGTTGTTTATTAATAATATCTTTTATTAATATTCTTATTTTTAGCTGAATTTTCATATTAATTAAGTACATTTTTGCTGACCACGCACCACATGCTCATTGCCTGGGGATAGTTTTGATCAAGACGGTTGTGGTGAATGTCTTTAGGAAATTGAGCTTTTAGCTTGCACTGTCTTATTTACCTTCACTTTATCTGCATTGGAGAGGATAGATGTCTGTGGGTATCCCTAGTTTAAACATGGCAAAAAAAAAAGAAATTACTTCCTCAAAAATCTCACAGTGTTCAAGATGTTAATGGTGGAGGTAGAAGTAGAGGACAGATGTCCTTTTGACAATTACAATGTCTTTCTGCCATGTTACTTTTACTTTTAGCTTAAAATAGCAACTCTAAAAGTATTATCTCAAAACTTGGCCGAAGCCTGCTGTATTCCCATTCTGTCTAACCTTGCTGGGCCTTCACTGCTGCATTTCTTTTTCATCCTAAACATCTTCCACACTAACCAAATCCAAGTTATTCCTGCTTGCCTTCTCAGCACATGACTTCTGTAGCTAGAGTAAAATTATATAATCATAAGAGAGTAAATTGAGCAAGAAACTTTAGAGGTCTTCTTATAGTAGAACTTTTGATAACTATGGGTTTTTGTGGTCATTGTGTTAGCCCTTTCATTATGTGTCCCTATTCCTCAAGAGTTTCAAGGGCCTTGAGGTATGGCCCCTTTCTCTTGCAGATGGAGCACTTATTTATGGTATTTATTTAGCACTTAGTTTTTGGTCTGTGATGACGTGGCAGTTTATAAGCCTCTACAGAGTAATTTTTCTCTTTTCTCCACTGCTGCCTTGTGCTCGGTTGACTTTCATTTAATGATTGCTAATTATCTTTTTCTATATAGATAATAGAACTTCAGAGATAGAATCAGATCTGGTTCATTTAACGGATAAATAAGTAGCAGACCTGATTCTCCAGACTCTGTGCCACAGTGTTCTACCATTGCACGTTGTTAGCCCTACACTATCCAAGTACGGTAATATGAAAAACACCGAATTCTCTGAATCAGAATCTTGAATAGGGTCTTGTTTTCTAATGTATTTTGATAGAAGACTTACCCCTATTTGAATTGCATTTCATGATTTAAACTTCAAGTGGATGAATTTTTGGTAACAGTTTTAGTTGGGATTGAATGTAGTATAGAACAAATAGGTCCTGAAATTTGTCTTCTTTCTGTAACAAGCAGATAGAGTGGGAAACGGAGTTAAAAAACAAAAAAAAAGGACATTATGGAAAAGGGCTGTGACATTTTAATTAGATTAATACTTTTTAAGTTTCAGTTTTTACAATGCCAGTTTTAAGAAAAGTGTTACTATCCTTGATCCTGTTTTCGTGGGCCTTGTGCTTTCTCAGCCTCTTCTTTGTAAAACGAAATGACTTAGTCCTTAAATATGGCTGCACGTTTGTATTCTTAATTAATCCTGGCCTTTCTTCTTACTGACAAACGTGGGCAATGTCAGATTACCCCTGTAAGCCTATGTTTTTCCAGCAGTCTTTTGGAGAGCCATACCTTTTTTCATTTTTTCAGTAGGACAGGTGAAAGGGCACAGCAGTGGCCATCCACCTTTGGTAACTCTCCCCTTCGCTTCGTGTCTTTGGGAACTTGCCCTGCTTGTTCTAGAGGGAGTCCCATCCTGAATGTAATTAAAGCATGTCTTCACATAAATACACAGCGTACCTAAATTGGTTTTCCTTAAAATATTAACCCTTGAATAAAAATGGGCAAATATTGGAGGCTATTGTGCTACTTGGATTTTGGTGTTTTAGTTTTCTCCTGTTTATTGCAAAAGAAATGGTTGACATAATTATTGTTACCCTTTAGGGAAGTTGAAGTGAAAGAAGTAGAGTTAGGCTTTTTGTAAATTGGTAGTGATATTACCAATATTGACATACCGTGTTTCTTATGCATATTTTATTAGATAGCACTCACCACACGAGATCGTAGTTGTTTATATACATGTCTGCTGTACTAGGTAGTGAGCTCCTTGAACATAGTAGCTCTTAGTTATTGTCATTCTTTCCTTCTTGTCACTTCTACCCTTCTCCCTTCCGTCTTCTACTCTCCATTTCCCTTCCCTTTCTTTTTTCCCCTTTTTTACTGTCCCTTACTTCCCTCTCTTTCCTTTTGTCACTTGTCTTCATTCAAATATTTTAGTGCCTGTTAATACTCAAGGCAATTTACTTGTCTGGGGTGGGGAGTGGATCTTACCCTCAAAGAGTTTGCAATCTCATAGTAGATGTGCTTTAAGTAACCAAAGTTATAGGTAGGATATATGTTACCAAGGAAATATAAGTATCAGATACAAAGTAATAATTGCCATAGGAATGGTACAGAAAAAGGGCTCATGATTTCCGAGGAGAAAATAATTGTTTCCACGTGGAGAGAGGGGCAGGGCTTCGTTGAGGAGGTGGCTTTGCTCAATTGCTCTTCGGTTGGAAGAAATTTTTCTTCTCTGACATCCATAATCCTTCCTGGACCTTTCCTATGGCGTTTATCAAAGAGAAGAAACACCTGGGCCATTTTGGTTTATGCAAACCACTTAAGTAAAAAACTTCACCTCTAAGTGTATGAAGATACCAGTTTTTTCTTAATTTTTTCCTTTTCTAAATGTGTTCACTTTTAGAAAATTAGCAAGTGAGAGAGCAAAAAGAAGAAAATAAAAATCATCCATAGTGTCATAATCAAAAAACTTTTTTTGACAGAGTGGGCTTATAGTGTGCATGCTGTTTGGAACTTGATTCTCTTCACTGGAATGTTAATGTCATGAAGTGTTTTTCTACAGTGACATTTTGGGAAATGTGTTGCATTCTTTTATTTGGATGTACTGTAGTTTATATTCTCAATCTCAGTGTGTTGTTTCACATGTAAATAGTCACAACACTTTCACATTTTGGGGGGATAAACGTAAGTGATACAGAAAAGCATGAAGAATAAAATATAACCACTCACTGTATCCATTAAGAATGCTTTTATCAGCAAAAAATAGAGCTCAACTAATTAAGTGACCTAAAGAAATAAGAGTTTATGTTTGTCACCTAATTCTGGAGGTAGTTGTGTGGTATTTGTTCAGCAGCTCAATAATGTTAGGGCTCTGGGTTGGCAATTCCATAGTTCTTTTGGCTTTCCCTCAGGATTGCAGAATGAGCACAGCCGCTTCTATCAGAATCCTGTTGAAAAGTAAACAGCAGGCAACAGTGTGGGGCAGAGAAGTTGTCCTTGGTCATCTTCTTCTCAGACATGAAAAGGTCTTTCTCTGAGCGCTCCAGCAACCTCTCCCATGCATTCATTGACCAGACCTAAGGCGCACACCTAGACCCGAGACTGGGCCCACTTCTCACAGATCAAAAGATATATGTATGCCCAACATCTGAGCAAAATGGGAAGCTTGTTAAGGAAAGAAAAAGGGAACACTTTGAGGTTGTGAGCAAATGACTACCCTAGTCAAAAAGTTATTTTTTTAAGTTTAAATTCCTAGAAGCGTGTGCATAAAGTGGTGTTTTTTTGTTTGCTTACTTGTTTTTAAATTTCTGTCCAGGAAGTTATGTATTTATTATTTCTAGTTGAAAAGTAACATGTGTTAGTTCTGTAACTTGTCTAGCAGGTGGGGTAAGAATGAAACTTTCTTTTGCAGTAAGATGCTTTTTGACCTTCTTTCTTTCTGTCCAGTTGCAGTGCCTTTTATGGCTAATTGAAAGCAGAAATTAGGAAAAATCAGGAGAATCAAGCTTGATAAACAGTTAAAAAAATATTGCAAAGCTCATTTTTTTTATTGGCTACATCAAGTTTATTAGTAGTTTTAACCTGTTTGTGTATGCTCATTTTTACTTACTTTTTCACTTCCATATAACTTTTATACAGCATAGTATACACATTTTTTTCTTTTTTTTATGAGGCAGATCAGCCCTGAGCTGACAGCTGCCAATCCTCCTCTTTTTGCTGAGGAAGACTGGCCCTGGGCTAACATCCGTGCCCATCTTCCTCCACTTTATGTGGGATGCCAGCACAGCATGGCTTGACAAGAGTATACACATTTTAAGTGTACAACTCAGTGTGTTTTTACATATGTATATACCCATTTAATTGTCACCCAGATCAAGAAAGTCTGTCACGCCCCTTCAAAGTCCATATTAACCTATATTTTGAGCAAATTTCTTATTGTAAACTCGTGTTCAGTTGAATCAGTGAAAGGCAAGATTTGGTAAAATACAAAGTTTATATGAATTTCTTAATTTTATTCTAAGATGTTAAATTTTCTTGACTATTTTCTTCTTGAATCCCTTGAAAACAGGTTATAGAAAGAATTACTTATTGACTTAGTAAGTTGTTGATTTATTAACTGTCATGTTGTTATATTTGGTTTCCTTAATGTGTTCGTGGAATTTGTGGTATTTCTTTATATGATTTTTATGGTAGTGTAATAAATGATCACTGTGAAATTTTAGGGAAGTGTTATACCATCTTGACTGTAAGCACGAAAAGCTCAGTAGACTTTAGTTTTCTGTTTATACTTTGTGCTAAAAATTCACTTTTTACGGATGCCTTAGTTTTATTCTTTTGAAATATGCTATAGCAGTCTACAGAGAAGTACTTACATGTTGTCTGAAACTCAGGAGAGTCCATATTGATACACTAACAATTTGACAGTAAGATTTAGGTTACTCTTTGTAGCATATGTTAGTGTGTTGTCCTCCAAACCTTCCCTTTATATGGTCTGATAAGTCTAAATTTATTTCACATAGACTCAACACCTAGTTTTGCTTTTGTTCATAACATAAACATGTGATGATGCAATTTAAAAAATGGTAATAATTGTATGACATGGATTGCTTGAGGTTGGAGGCATCCTGCCCTGGGAGCTCCATCAAGCCTGAGCATGCAGAGGGATTCAGGGTCCCAGCATGTCTGTAATAGATACACAGCATGTGCCATAGCAAGCAGGTTCTGTGGCTCTGATGTGATATCTTTTAATGTTGATAAAAGTGATTGACAACATGTTTTGATAATGTGGTAATTTTGTTTGGTAATCTTGCTAGTCTATATTGATAATGACATAGCTAGCATTTTAATTAGTTTTACTTACTTCATGTCATGTTTTCAGATTGGATCTGGTTCATCTCGTCTTGGAACAGCAGCAACTATTAAAGGTAGACATGGTCTAATTTGAAAGTTGCCTCTGACTTTCCATTTCATTTTTAGTTGTAATAAAGATAACTGAGTACTATATATTCACATGTAATGAAAAATCATTCTTGAAATTATTTTGTAGATAAAATTATGTATCTTATATTAAAGGTTATTTGATTTAAATTGTGTTCCGCTTTCATCATCCAAATTTCACAAAAGTATTTGACCATTTGCATTGCATTGCATGAAGTATAAGTTTTGATCTATAAGAAACTTCCTTGCCTTGAGGGAAAATAATTTCATGGGTTTTGGTGAGGTTCATGAGAAACTGAGTAATTTAATGTGAAACCTTTAAATTGGGCACAAATGAGACACTAAAAAAGGGAAAGTGGGGGCTGGTCCCGCGGCCTAGTGGTTAAGTTCAGTGCGCTCCGCTTCAGTGGCCCGGGTTCACGGGTTCGGATTCTGGGCACGGACCTACAGCACTTGTTGGCAGCCATGCTGTGGTGGTGACCCACGTACAACATAGAGGAAGATTGGCGCAGGTGTTAGCTCAGGGCCAATCTTCCTCAGCCAAAAAAAAAAAAAAAAGGAAAGTGTTTTTGTATACATCTCATATATGCCTTTTATTCTATACATCTATTTCAGATACATTCATATTATTTTTACCTTATAATTTTTTAGCTTGCTAATTTTCCCTGGGAAGGAAATTTATGTTATTTCAAGTTATTACATAATTTGCATCTCTTTAAAAACTCCTTCTTATAAAGAAATAGTTTATTAGCTAACGATATAAAGCTGTCCATATTATTTGGTTTGTAGTGCTGTGAGGATAATTATGTCATCTGGTAGTCTTCTGACACTTCCTATTAGTTCAATGCATCTTCCATTGTTGTAATACTTGATAGACAAAAACTGCTTTAGTAGGTACAGTGTACTAGTATAGTATACAGTAAACTAGTATAGTAGATATCTAGTATACTACTTGATGTCCTTCCTTGTTATGCCACCCTGTACGGCCTTTACTTGTAATAATTAATGTCTTTACATGTTTCTTTTAACTTTGTAGGAGATACAGACACTGCTAAGACTTCTGACGATATCAGCTTAAGTCTGGGCCAGAGCTCTAGTCTTTGTAAGGAAGGAAGTGAAGAACAAGGTAAGAACGTTATACTTCACAGTGACGTTATATATTGTGGTGACCAGAATGGGTTGTGGAATATGCCCACTCACATTTTGGCAGAATAATTTAATATGATATTTTTGAGAAACATTTTTAAAATAAAATTATTTACTAGGATAACAGTAATACAGTGTTATAAGTACTTTTAGCTTTCTGGAATTCAATTGTACATGTTCTGCCAAGTAAACATGGAGAGAAAAATTTTATGAGCAGATATCCTAGAGCGAGGATGAGATGGGAGATAAGAATGTGCTATTGCTTTACTTGGTCAGAGCATCTTGCCTGGCTTAGTGATAACCTAGTAAGTAAAACTGTTCTTTTCCATTCAGTATGACCTCTATTTATTTTTTTTTTTGTGAGGAAGATCGGCCCTAAGCTAACATCTGCCAATCCTCCTCTTTTTGCTGAGGAAGACTCATCCTGGGCTAACATCCATGCCCATCTTCCTCTACTTGATATGGGACGCCACCACAGTATGGCTTGACAAGTGGTGCGTCAGTGCACGTCGGGGATCCAAACCGGCGAACCCTGGGCCACTGCAGCAGAGTGCGCACTTAACTGCTTGTGCCACCGGGCCAGCCCTGTATGCCCTCTAAATGTCACCTGCTTCATGTCTTGCCCAGCAATATGTTTTAGCAGAGAAATCACTTGCAGTTGGACTTACTGAGAAACTGTATGTCTGCCTCCAACATGGCGCCTCCTGTAGCAGATATTTAATAGAAATTTTAGCTTTAAGTGATTTTTTTCCCTCCTTATTCAACTCCATTATAAATTTTGGATTTTATGGAGTTTTTTTTTTTTTTAAGAACTGCCACATTTCATTTTTGATTTTTAATTTTCAAACATGAAAGTATGGATATGTCATCCCCATTTTCAAGTGGAGATTATCCCATGTTATATAATCAGTGAGACAGAAACCTGTCTCCCTGTTTCCAGACTGTTGTTTTGATTAGCCTCTGGGTTATATTTGGTAGGCAGGCAGGCTGATAAATTTCCTCTATTTAATTATGAAACTTATTTATGAAGTTACAAATAGATCACAAATTATGACATTTTCCCACTAATTTAATATTTTACCCAAGTCCAGTTCTTACAAGCATATTTTGTTACTGGTATTGGAATTTCAAGTTTATCACTATAACTCTGCTTTTTTGGAATTGCAGGACCCTATCATTGTTTATTTGCTTTTGTGGACTGCTTCTGCCAACCTGCCCCTCCTCCTGTAAAAAAAAATGCTTCTAAACATACAGTATTTACTGTAAGAAAACAGTGAACTATTTTCTTGTAAAAGTAAAGGTGAATTGATTGGTTTGAGAATTACAATATCCCTTTCTTTGATTACATCTATAAGATGTAATCATCAGACTGTCTCAAAAACTAGGTAATGATCTTAGAGGGGCTAGTGCCACTGCATTTATCTCTTTATTTTATATCTGGAAAGTACCATGCACGAGCAAGAATTTTGTAGTCTGGCAGGTTGGGAATTATATAGACACAAACCTACCCTTGCAGATACATATTGACATAGCTAATGATATGTGACATTCACTGAGTGCATACTATTATTTAGGTTAGAGGTTAGCAAATTTTTTCTATAAATGGTCAGATAGCTTCGTAGGCCGTTATGATCTCTCTCGCAATTACTCAGTCTGCCGTTGTGGAGTGAAGGGGGCCATAAACAATGCGTAAATGAGTGGGCATGGCTGTGTTATGCTAAACTTTATTTCCAAAAACAGGCAGAGAGCATTCTTGGCTTCATGGGCCTTAGTTTGTCAACCCCTGGTTTAGATCTTATTTTAAGCACTTTGTATGCGTTCACCCAGTTAATCTTCACTGTAAGCATTTGAAGTTAATACCATTATTATTCTCACTTTACAGATGAGCATATCATGGCTTAGAGAGACGTTATAAGAAACTTGCCCAGGGGGCTGGCCCGGTGGCATAGCGGTTAAGTGCGCGGGCTCCGCTTCGGCGGCCCAGGGTTCATATGTTCGGATCCTGGGTGCGGACAGACGCACCGCTTGTCAAGCCATGCTGTGGCGGTGTCCCATATGAAGTAGAGGAAATGGGCACGATGTTAGCCCAGGGCCAATCTTCCTCACAAAAAAAAAAAAAGAAGAAGAAAGAAAAAAAAGAAAAGAAACTTGCCCAAAGTCACAGAGCTACAAAGTGGCTGTCTTATAATTGATATCTAGTTTTGAATCATGCTTTTAATTGCTATACTATCCTACTTTCATAGAGTTTTATAACTTGTTTTTATCATGTAGCATTTTTCCATGTAGTTAACATTTAATAGATAGTATCTAGAACTCATTACATGCTGAGCACCATTCTTAGTACTGGAAATAAATCAGTGAACAAACAGACAAAAATGTCTACCCTCTTGTGGCTTCCGTACTATTAGTGTGAGATCATCCTAGTATAAATCAAATATATAGCATATGTAGTAACAGAGAGAGAGGACAGGGAGTGGTGGGGGCTGGGGGAATGGAAGTGTAAAGAGCGTGGTTGAGGGAAAGCCTCGCTGGGAGCCAAGACCTGAGGAGGTGCAGCAGTGAGCTGTCAGGATATGTGGGGGAGGGGCTCGCTCCATGCAGAGGCGACAGCATAGGTAGTTGTCCTAAAGTAGGAACATGCCTGTCAGCTTTCAGAAGTATGGCTGGTGCGGTGTAAGTGAGGGGACAAATTATATAGTCTTGTAAGCCATTTTAAAGATTTTTGTTTTAATACCCAGTGAGATGAGGAACTGCTAAAGGGTTTTGAGCAGAGGAGTGTCCTGATTTGTGTTACATTTTAACAGAATCACTGCTGCTCTTATGTTGAGAATATATTAAAAGGGGCGAAGTCTGAAGCTGGGAGCTCAGTTAGCAGATTATTGCAGTAATCCAGGGCACAGATCGGGGTAGTAAGAGGTTGTCTGACTGTGTGTAGAAGATGTTAATGAGAGGATATATTGGTGCTGATGGATTTGGATATATCATGTGAGAGAAATCATAATCATGGATGACTAAGGTTTTGAGGTTAAGCAATGGGAAGGATGGAGTCCCCATTAACTGAAAGGGGGAAGACTGAGAAGGAGCAGATTTCGGGGTAGGGAGAGCATGGAGGAGGGTAAGAGAGGGAGTTGTTTTGGACATATAAGGTATGAGACGCTGTTAGACTTCTAAGTGGCAATAATTAGTAGATAATTAGATAGGTCTGGATTTCAAGTAAGACGTCTGGGTTGAGATTTTAAATTTAGGAGTTATCAGTGTATAAATACCAAAAAAATTCAGTCATTTCAACTGTGGGTTTGGGTTATCATGAAGTTCATAAACTAACAGGGCAAGCCCCCATGGTGAGTAGGCCTGGAGTTTGTTAGGTGGCCTGGCCCCCTGATCCGAATTGGTGTTGGTCTTGGCTACGGTTTGGCACCACCTAGTGGCAGTTGTTCATTCTAGCTTAAATATCAGTTGGGGCTCTTCTCGTTCTCTGTCTGGTTTGGATTTATAGGACAGTGACCTTTAGTTAGTTGGTTAGCACTTGATTAGTTGACACGCGTTTTATTGACACGATTCAGGGTGATTGGGAGAAAACTGAGGGTGTGGGGATGTGTCTTCTACTTTTTCACTTCTAAGTAGGGATTATCTCCAGTTTCCCTCTCCAGCCTCAGTCATGTCTTCACTACTCCAGATCAAAACTCTCGCCCATCCCCATATGAGTATGGGGGCTGGGTAGAAGATGAAGGAACTAGTTACAAGTATTTCTGAATTTAGGTATCACGGGGCCAGAAAACTGCATGGGATCTCAAGAGAGAGTGTAGATAGAAAAACGAGAAGTTCCAAGGATTGAGCTCTGAGCCACTCTGGTTTAATAAGTCCAGGAGAGTAAGGAGGAACAACTGGTGAGATAGAGAAGTGTCGCATCCCAGTGTTTCCAGGAGAGTGGAGTGATCAGCTTTGTTAAGCGTTGCTGATAAGGTCAAGTGGTGGTAGACTGAGACTTGGACCATTGGATGTAACAGTGTGGAGGTCATTGGTGACCTTGATAAGCACGATGTCAGTAGAGTGGTTTTGGGATACTCAGAGAATTAGAGGAGAAAGAATTGAAAACAGTGAATGTAGACTTCTCTTTTAATGAATTTATGTAAAGGGGGTCAGAGACATAAGGTGATACCTAGCAGGGGAAGTGAGGAAAAGGAGAGATTTGGATTTTCTAAGAATATGTAAGAGAAATAACAGCATGTTTTTATAATTGATGGAGATGATTCAAAAGAGAGAAGGAAAATAAGATTTTTGTTTATAAAAGTAATATATGTTAATTTTAAAAAATATAGTTAAGTATGAAGAAGAAAATAATTCACACTTTTGCCACTGAGGTAACTGTTAATATTTACTGGGTGTATCACTTTTTTTTCTTATTTTTTTTTATTGTGATATAATTCACATACCATAAAATTCACCCTTCTAAAGTATACAATTCAGTGGTTTTTACTATTTCACAAGATTGTGCACCCATCACCACTATCCAATTCCAGAACATTTTCATCACCCTAAAAAGAAACCCATACCCATTACACTCCCCATTTCCTCCTTCAACTAGCCCCAAGCAACCACTAATCTATTTTCTGTCTCTATGCATTTGCCTATTCTGGACATTTCATATAGATGGAATTATGTGGTTTTTTGTGTCCGGGGTCGTTCACTTAGCGTGTTGTAGCATGTGTCAGGAGTTTAAGACTAAATATGGTGTATTACTTTTACCATTCCTACAAACACACACATATACCCTTTCTAACTCTTACAGATTGGCATCATACTTTTTATATAGTGCTGTCTTTTTCACTTAGGTATTTTCTCATATTATTACGTAATTGAAAACATTTTTAGTTCCTGCATGATGTTATTAATAGTATAATTTATTCAACCTTTTTTTATTGGACATTGTTATACTTTTAAGAAGTTTTATAACAACCTGACATGAACAACTTTTTGCTAAAACCTTATACGCATATCTGATTTTATCCTTTAGCAGCAATTTCTGGAAATAGATTACTGACCATGGATGAGTATACTTTTTGAAGGCTTTCAGCCATATCACCAGATTGCTTTAGTTATGCCAGTTTGCACCACGATGAGCAGTATGTGAGCATGTCTGTCCTATCCTAAACACTGCTAGTAGTAATCACTGAAGAAAAGTTCAGTTATATGAAAAATAATATTTCTGTGTTGATTTGAGCCTGTCTTTGAGTATATTGCTACCAGTAAGAAAAATGTCTAAGAAAGTATATTTACTTGAAAATTTCCTAAAACTACTTAAAGTTCTTCCTGACAAAATTAAAGTTTTTTTATGGTATATTTATTTAGCAACATTGAAAAAAGTGCATGTATTAAAGTTTGAGTGTGTCTTTTAAAATGAAAGACTTAAATTTCTGCTCTATTAATGTCTTAGAAGGGTCTTGGTTTTGATCATTAGCATTTTTTAAAAAGTCTTTTGTTGTGTATTAGAATTGGTGATTTTCAGCTACTTGTTCAGTTAAGTTTTCATTCTGTAAAATTCAACCTTGAAATGTGAATATCACACCATTGCATAATTTTTAGAGATATATAGAGAGTTTTTAGAAATAACTTTATAATTTAATATTACATAAAAGTAAATACAGTACTAACTTTTAAGTTTTAGTATTTAAAGACTATATTAAGAATATATTTATATATAATATATTTATATATTTATATATTTATATTATTAATATATATTAATATATAAATAATATATAATATATATATTAATATTTATATATTATATATAAATATATTAAGAATGTATATAGTGAATATAAGAACCCAAGTGTAGTGGCAGCTGTTTTGAACAAATGATAAAGAACATAGATTTTACTTATCTTGAAGACTTTATAAAACATAAGATAAAGCCTAATAGGTCATTTATAAATCACAGTTTATATGGTACATTCTAGAGGCTGTCTCTAAGTTTTTAATTCCTTAAATCTAATCTAGATCTAGATTTTTTTTAAGTATGTAAACATCTCTAGTAATTCATTCTTATTTCATATTAATCTTAGGGAAAAATGTATGCTTTTATTAAGATTCTACTGGGAAGAGTCTGACTTAACTACAGAATCTGTTATTGTATTTTATTATGCAGTTATGACAAATAAGACAATAATTTTTCTTTTTATTGAACTAACAGCAGAGTCAGCTATTCTTGTCTGTCAGAAAGTATAAAAAAATTAGCTATCGTGCAATTTGGTTGTCATGCTATATTTCAAGATAAATTACAATGTAGGAAGGTAGGTAGATGGATTTATTTATAGTTATATCTGCATACATACTGTATGTGGTAACTCAAGTCACTAATCACTGTCCTGAATGGAGGGTTAAAGGAATGGTCTTACAGATATAGAGGGATATGTATTTTTTTCATGAGACGTTTTGTAATTGTTGCATCAACGATGAAAGAGAAAATGCAGTATTTTGCCCTGTAATTATTGCTTTAATCTTTTCAACCATTATGAATAGCAGGCTGTCTTGCATCGTTATATCACATCTTGTTTAGGCATTGGTCAGCCAGCCTTTCAGCTTTTTTTCTGTTTCTGATTACTCGAGGTTTTTTGTTGAATTATAAAATAATCATATCATTTTTTTTCAAAAAGATTTTTGTATTGTGTTAGTGAGGTAAAGTAATGATAGCTGTTGTTAATTGTGCCAGGCATTGTGTAAACAACATATGTCAATAACTCAGTTATTCCGTGGTATGTACTACTCAGTGAGACTGATATTGTATTTACAGATGAGGATGCAGAGGCTTAGAAAGATGACCCAAGGTCACTCAGTAAGTTAGAGACAGAGCTCACATAAAAGTCTAGGTCCATTTTGAATATAATCTTTTGTTGGCTCTTATTTTATTTTTGATAGTCTATAGAAGTTTTTCTGAGGCCAATCGAAGATTTGAAAGTTCAGTTCATTCCATTAGTAGAATGCTTTCTTTGTGCAGCTGTGAAATAGAAACCAGCTCTTTTGAATGACTGGCCAACTGTTATTCAGTGAACTACTTGAGAAATTGTTTATACTTGATTTACTGTATAATGCTGTGAAGTCTTTCCATTGTTAACCAGTAGAAAAGCAGATCATAGATTTGTGTTAACATTTTCAAATATGTGTTTGAAACAGATTTGGCAACTGATCGGAAGCTCTTCCGTCTGGTCTCCAATGATTCCTTCATCTCCATTCAGCCTTCCTTATCCTCTTGTGGACAGGACTTACCAAGGGACTTCAGCGACAAAGTAAGCCTTCCAAGTCACAGCCACCACCACCACATTGATCAGTCTCTGTCCAGCGCCTGTGACACCGAAGTAGCTTCTCTCGTCCCCTTACATTCACACTCTTACAGGAAAGATCACCGGCCGAGAGGTGTACCACGGACTTCTAGCTCTGCTGTGGCTTTTCCAGACACTTCATTGAATGACTTCTCTCTGTATCAGCAAAGACGTGGGTTAGATCCAGTTAGTGAGTTAGAATCTTCCAAGCCTCATTCTGGATCCAAAGAATCCTTGGTGGAAAATTCTTGTTTATCTGGGGAATTTCAGCTTGTTGGTGAGCTGAAAAACAGTAGTTCTCAGCCACCTACAAAAAGTGGGAAGAGCAAACCTTTGAAAGCAGACAAAAGCATGGACAGCTTGAGGAGCCTGAGCACGCGGAGTAGTGGGTCAACAGAGAGCTATTGCAGTGGAACGGACCGGGACACTAACAGTACTGTCAGCAGCTATAAAAGTGAACAGACCAGCTCAACTCACATAGAGAGCATCTTGTCGGAGCATGAGGAGTCGCCTAAAGTAGGAAAGAAAAGTGGTAGGAAAAAAGAGTGCTGTGCTGACCCAGAGGACAGGAGTAGCTGTACCAGTGACAAAAGGACTAGTAGTGAAAAGACTGTCTTGGAAATGAGTACAAATAGTGGGGTTCAAGAGGCCAAGGATTCTAATACCTCTGATAACATGACCAATCAGAGAGGTCTCAGCACCTCTGCATCTGAAGAAGCCAATAAAAATCCCCATGCAAATGAAGTCACTTCCCAGGGGGACCAGCCACTTGGGAAAACTGCTGAAAACAAAGAGGAGCAGGGTGATAAGTCAGTTGTTTCAGTGGACTCAAAAGTTGGTAAAGACGTTGAAGGAAAGCAAAAAGAAGGGGACGTACGACCTAAATCTTCTAGCTTAATCCACCGGACAGCCTCTGCCCATAAATCAGGCAGGAGACGGACAGGAAAAAAACGGGCCAGCAGTTTTGATTCAAGTCGGCATAGGGACTATGTTTCCTTTCGAGGCGTTTCTGGTACCAAGCCACACAGTGCTATATTCTGTCATGATGAGGACTCTAGTGACCAAAGTGACTTGAGCAGAGCATCAAGTGTTCAGTCTGCTCACCAGTTCAGCAGTGACAGCTCTTCTAGCACCACTTCTCATTCGTGTCAGTCTCCTGAGGGCAGATACAGTGCTCTCAAGACCAAACACGTCCCTAAAGAAAGGGGCACCGACCCTGAGCATGCACACAAAGCCCATTTGGGTCCTGAAGGAACTGGCAAAAAGCGGACAGCACGTCGGACTTCCAGCACAAACAGTGCCAAGACCAGGGCGCGAGTGTTGAGCCTGGACAGCGGCACGGTAGCGTGTTTGAATGACTCCAGCAGGCTGATGGCACCCGAAAGTGTAAAACCCTTAACCACTTCAAAATCAGATCTCGAGGCCAAAGAGGGAGAGGTGCTAGATGAGCTATCTTTATTGGGACGGGCTTCCCAGTTAGAGACAGTCACTCGATCTAGGAATAGCTTGCCAACCCAGGTTGCATTTCCTGAAGGTGAAGAGCAAGACGCAGTCAGTGGAGGTAAGTAAATTACAGGAAGAGATTTCCCCAAGAGTCACTGCAATTTTTGGTTCTTTTGATTAGAGTAGTCCTTATTAAAGTATGCTTTGTGTTAATATCGCCTCTTCCACTATGTTATTAAAAGAAACTTTCTTCCATGAAGAAGGACATGGTTATCTTAGAAAGGGTTTTGGTATGAACATCAAGAAAATATTTTTTCAATTGTATTATTTGGATCTATCAATTTGTTCTTGATGGCATTCACCTTTTCTAAGCCAGTTGCCGCCTTAGTGTTTTACCAGGAATAACAAAAATTGGTCCTCTTCCTTCTCTGTACAACAATAGCAACAACAAAATGTAGAATTTTATTAGAGCACCAGACCATTTTTTTGTCATCTCTTATACAGTGTGTGTCACTGAACTTTCAGAATTAGATCACTCAACTCGTTATGTAAGATTTTTCCAAATATACTTTAGCCCTGACTGTGTACTTTGAGAACTTGTGGCTCTTTTTTGTCTGTCTCTTTGGTTTTATTTCTTGCTTACTCAAGTTTCAGGGATTAAGAACATTTTATTTTTTCTTTATCTTCAAACTTTTCTTAAAGTTTATTAAATCGATGTTTGTAGTGTATATTGACATTTAATATCCATTAATGGATATATGATGCTCCCTATGATAACAGTAATGGTGTTTTGGTTAAAGTAATAGCTTAGTTATTTCAGGTTTATGGGAAATTGTGCAAAATTCAGTGGGTGATTCTATATTATCTGTGTATGTTGGCCATTTTGTTATTTCAGAGTTATTTCTTGCTCTTTCCTCCTGCCCAGAATAGTTTGTTTATTCTGTTCTTCTGGTTATTACAGAATCTGGGTCTTGAACAGAATCAGAATGAAGTCTGCTGGAAGCACTGTAGCTTTTTTTATCTTCTACCCCCATTCCCTTTATTCAAGCTTATATCTTTCAAGTTTATAGTCTGTTAGTGTAGTAACGTTCAATCTCTTATTAAAAGTTAAGCTGAATTTTTTGTGTGTACAAACGTTCTGAAACACAAGGAACATGGTTTTTCTCTCAAAGAATTCTAATTTCACCCAGAGTTATTTTAAAAGTCCATATTGTGGTAAACATTCTCTTGTTTCTTTTCATAAACATTCTCTTGTTTCTTTTGGTATAGTTTCTAACAAAGATTAATTTCTAAAAGGAATGGAAAAAATGATCTTTAGTACCTAAGGAAGAAAATATTCTATCAAACTTAAATGTTGAGAACTAATTATACCTGAGATGATTATAACCATTTGGTGACAATATAGTAATTAAATTCCCTTGAGTCTTTGATGTGATTATCATTCTATTTTTTTATGGAAAAGCTGAAATGCCTTTTAGTGATTTCCTATGCAAATCATATCAAATTTGTTCATGACTTGCAAGAAACCATTGGATTTTAGCTTAATTTTTAAAGTTGTCATTAAAATAAATTTTAAGAGTGAACATGCTATGATAGAAGAATATTGCTCTTCTAAATACTGTTGAAATGTAAATACTAAAAAATATGTGCAAGAGCTGTAGTAAATCTGTATGTCTTTGTGTTTGAAATGTCATTTCCTTTTCATAGGCAATGTGGAGTGTTCTGTTTTTCAGGAAAGGTTATGTGGAATGCTTCTCATTGCAGATCTTTGACTAATATGAGCCCTCATTTTTCCAGATTACAGCTTTTGTTTGTGTTCTTATCTTTAAAAAACAAACCAACATGGGCCGGCCCGGTGGCATAGCGGTTAAGTGCGCGTGCTCCTACTTCAGCGGCCTGGGGTTTGCAGGTTCAGATCCTGGGCGTGCACTGACGCAGCGCTTGTTAAGCCATGCTGTGGCGGCGTCCCATATAAAGTGGAGGAAGATGGGCACGGATATTAGCCGAGGGCCAACCTTCCTCAGCAAAAAAAGAGGATGATTGGCAACAGATGTTAGCTCAGGGCTAATCTTCCTCACAAAAAACAAACAAACCATTGAATGTTAATAAGAAAGAAATAATGAACTAAAAGTTTCCGTTCACTTTGATGGAATAAATGTAATAGTCTGTGGGTGGTTAAAAAACATTTTTTGCCAAAAGAAGGCAGTGAAAGGGCTATTTTTTTTTTCTGTTTCTACTTACATTCTTTTTTTTTTTTTAATTGATGTTTTAATAGTTTGTAACGTTGTGAAATTTTTGGTTGTACATTTTTGTTTGTCCGTCATCATATACATGTCTCCCTTCACCCCTTGTGCCCACTCTCTACCCCCACTGCCCCTGGTAACCACAATACAGTTTTCTCTGTCCATGTGTTGGTTTATATTCCACAAATGAGTGAGATCATACGGTGTTTGTCTTTCTCTTTCTGGCTTATTTCACTTAACATAATACCCTCCAGGTCCATCCATGTTGTTGCAAATGGGACGATTTTGTCTTTTTTTATGGCTGAGTAGTATTCCATTGTATATATATACCACACCTTGATCCATTCATCAGTCGAGGGACACTGTCCAACGAACCTGAAATCAACAATCCCAAGAGACTTATGCACCCCTATGTTCATTGCAGCATTATTCACTATAGCCAAGAAGTGGAAGCAGCCCAAGTGAAAGGGCTATTTTTATTTGAGCTTCATTGTGTTTGGAATAGAAATAAGAACAAAACTAAACTGCTTAAATATGTTGAGGATTTATATTTAGTTGGTTTTCATCTCATTTTATTAGGGGTTTGTTTGGGCTTCTTGGAAGATTGAAGGTAATGGGATAGGATGTATTTTGGTTGTCAGTACTTAAAAATTACATAGAATCTCAAACACTTGGTAAAGATTTGTTTATATTAGCACTAATTGTTACAGTCCTTTCTGGCAATTTAGAAGACTTCTTTTGGTCTATCTGTTCCACCTTACATACTGTACTCCTGAAGTGTGTCAATAAAACAGAGGATACTGCTTGACCATTTGTATGCCTAGACATAAACCATGAGTAGATAGTACCCTAGTGAATTTAGAAGTGTTATGAGTTCTCCAACAATTTTTTTGTTTTATTTTTAGCTGAATAGTGTTGGTAGCGTGGAAGGATGGAATTTAGGAAATGTACTTTCAAGTACTAAAATAAAATCCTCTAAAATACGAATAATCTAATATAGTGACATGTCATACACCCTTGTTAGTACGTGGGCTCCACTGTAGCCGTGGCCCTAAGAAAGCTGCTTGCCTTCTTTAAGGCTCAGCTTCCTCGTCATAAAGTGGAGATGACCAGAGTATCTGTCTCATAGGGTTCTTGTGAGGATTAAAGGAATTAATAGATGTGAAATGCTTAGAACAGTGCCTGGCACATAGTAAATGCTTAGTAGTGCTGGCATTTCTATTCTGCAGGCTTGTTTGTTATGCTACTCAAATGTATCCTGTCCTGAAAGTAGATGAAAATGACTAAATATAGAAATATATTAGAGATATTCTAATTGTGCTGTTGTGAAAGTCGACAATAGTAAAAACAAAAATAATATCTGAATTCTTAATTTCTTACATAATACCAACAGAAAAACATTTTTATTAACATCTAATCTAGTAATATGGACGTTGATCTTATTTTGACAACAACATGTCATATAACTTATCTTTTGATATTCAGTCACATAACAAGTGATTATTTTTATGACTTCTCACCATTAATCAAATACTTTGGTTAAAATTGGATTTCGTCAATAATGTTCTAGAAAAAAAGTTTTAGATTTAAACTAAGGCATTTTCTTGTTGATCTCTTGTTTTGCATTTAATTTTTCTTTTATAATTATAAAGCATATCTTTAATTTATGAGTAATATTTTAAGAATAAAAAAGTACAAACAAGTTATGTATGATAGAAAAGGGTTTTGTTTTCTAGCCTGCATTGCTTTTCAAAAATCATTTTCTTTTGGGTCGCTTAAACTTATTTACTGCACGAGCCACCAGATTATAAAGAACAGCTAAAATGGAAAGGTTTATATTCACTCTGTTATTTTGTATTTTTTCCTGAATTTCTTAATCTCTGGTTTTCTGTTTGAGAAAATTATTTTAAGTGTAATGTTTGCGTCACTATTCTGTAAGCATTAAATCCTATTATAATATTTTTGTGTTGGGAGCAAAAGATAATCTTTTGTTAAGGGAATATTACTTTATTGAAAGAAAAGCCAAATCTTCTCAATAATTTATGAGGGTTTGTGCCCTCTGTGTAAATTGAAGGAAGGTTGGTTATTTGAACCCAAGTATCATTGAACTTTAGAAAGAAAAGACGAAGACCACAGAGCAGACGAGAACATGTGAGTTAAAGCTTTTGTACGTTAGTAAATAGAGGGACTATAAAATCTAATAAATTAATTTTCTGATCTCCCAGTCCGCATAGCAAGTTAGAAGAAGCAGATTAGTAAAAGGGGATGGGTACTTGTAGAGGCTAAAATAATGACAGCAGAAGAACTACAGTGCTGACACGAAAGGAGAAGCTGGAGTAACCATACAAACCAAAGCAAAAAACACAACGGGGTGGGGTCATTAAATGCAGGGGCAAATTGACTTGTTAATTTTGATATTGTTCGAAGACATCATAGTATCATAATTTAATGCTGCTTTATAGTATAATGGAGTAATGTATGTGTGACTGACTCAGATTCATTAAGGAAAGATTATATTAGTCTATACTGAGAGGAAAGCTTAGACATAAAACCACGTATAGAATGCTCATTAAATGTAGTAAACAGGTTTGGATGCTTCAGTTACTTGGAAAAATTATCTTTTCTTAAAACAGTATCAAGCAAAGAGATATTTATTGATGAGATAAATAAGGGTTTGTATATAGAATTCCCAAAACCAGCCTATGCGTGATTTTTTGTGGTAGGAGCAGACATAGTATTTTTCTTTCTAGCAGCAGTGAAGTTCTAGATAAGGAATCAAACAGTTACATTTTAATACTACCTCTAATTACTAACTGGATACTATTGCAAACCATTAAATCTCTGCCTTAATTTCCTTAATTGTAAAACAGGGATA